AAGTGATGAAACTCGGCAGACAGAGAGAGGCAGGGACGAACAATAAGTGATCTTTATTTCAAAATGATAGTCATAATACAGAGCGAGAACGGCGTCGGCTTAGTAGCAAGTAGGACCACCGCGGACGGCGATGCACGCAGCAACACGTCTAGGTAGAGAGTCAATCAGAGTACGGATGGCGTCCTGAGGGATGGCTCTCCAATCCCTCTCAACCATTTGCCACAGTTCGTCTTCTGAACGCGGCTGTGGCAAGGCATGCAAACGGCGTCCAATGATGTCCCAGACGTGCTCGATTGGTGAGAGATCAGGAGAGTATGGTGGCCAGGGAAGCATCTGTACATCTTGCAGAGCTTGTTGGCTAATGCGAGCAGTGTGCGGTCGGGCGTTATCCTGGCATTGGGTACCCCCTGAAGGTAGGGGAGTGTCACCGGTCGCAGCACATCATCAACTTATCGTTGGGCCGTCATAGTGCCCAGAATACGAAGTAAAGGTGACCTGGAATCATACGCGATTGCGCCCCAAACCATGATTCCACGTTGTCGCACGGTGGGGCGTTCCACAATTGCTGCCGGATTGGACCTTTCTCCACGTCGACGCCACACGGGTACACGGCGACTATCACTGGACAAGTAGAAACGCGACTCATCTGAGAACACGACCCTGTGCCATTCCGTCATCCACGTCGATCTAGCCCGGCACCATTCCAAACGTGGCGCCTTTTCGGTGGGGTCAATGGCAGTCTTCTTAGCGGACGGCATGAGTGCAAGCCATTAGCAACCAATCGACGGGAAATGGTTCTGGTCGAGATGGAATGATCTAGGGTGTCTTGCACATGTTGCAGGATGGAGGTACAAGTGGCTTGTGGGGCCGCCACTGCTTGTCGAAGGATACGCCGATCCACACGTGCTGACGTCACTCTGGTTGCACCGACATTTCTATTAATTGCCACATTTCCTTGTTCCAACCATCTTCTCCACAGTCGGTGCACCGTGGACGCACCAAGGTGTGTATCAGCTGCGATTTGACGTATGGACCAACCTGCCCTTTTCAGTCCGATCACCATGCCCCTCGTAAAAGCGTCTGTCTGCTTGAACTGCCTCCGTTTACGATGACCTGGCATTCTCTGTTATTACCCGTGTCTTTTGACACAAGAACATAATTTCTACAATGATTTTCCTTGAAGAAATAACGACACGAATACTGTCCTTTCTGCAAGTTCCTTCCCTTATATCTTACTCCATGTGCGCACGAGAGCTGCGCATTTTACATCATTTGCATAACTCGGTTAGGCGCGTCTACCCTGAAATTTGCATAATTTTATGGCCACTATTTCTTGGTGTTCCATTTTCAATGTCACGCAGTGTATATGCTAAAAGGTACAAATTCCTTAAGTTTTGTCCATGAGTGTATCTTTCAGAGTTATTGTCTGAATCCCGATATATATGCTAAAAGGTACAACTTCCTTAAGTTTTGTCAATGAGTGTATCTTTCAGAGTTATTGTCTGAATCCCGATATACATGCTAAAAGGTACAAATTCCTTAAGTTTTGTCCATGAGTGTATCTTTCAGAGTTATTGTCTGAATCCCGATATATATGCTAAAAGGTACAACTTCCTTAAGTTTTGTCCATGAGTGTCTCTTTCAGAGTTATTGTCTGAATCCAGATATACATGGTAAAAGGTACAACTTCCTTAAGTTTTGTCCATGAGTGTATCTTTCAGAGTTATTGTCTGAATCCCGATATACATACTAAAAGGTACAACTTCCTTAAGTTTTATCCATGAGTGTATCTTTCAGAGTTATTGTCTGAATCCCGATATACATGCTAAAAGGTACAACTTCCTTAAGTTTTGTCCATGAGTGTATCTTTCAGAGTTATTGTCTGAATCCCGATATACATGGTAAAAGGTACAACTACCTTAAGTCTTGTCCATGAGTGTATAATGGTATCTGTGTCTAACGGCCGTTTAAACCAGCAGACAGGAAGTAACTTCAAGGTTGGTGACGCAATATCAGCGGGCTGAGTGGGACGTCACAGATATGACGTAACACTGGCGATAGAGCAACTTCACAGCTAATGACGATACAATAGTGGATTGAGTGTAACTCCAATGTTACTGTGGACTCCACGCTACTGGCGAAACCCCAACTGACTGAAGCGTATCTACACGTTACTGGCGAAACACTAGCTGACCGGGAGTGTCTCCAAAACAACTGGCGAAACACAAACGAACTGAATTAAAAGCCCCACAACTGACGAAACACTAGCTGACTGGGAGTGTCTCCAAGACTACTGACGAAACACTAGCTGACTGGGAGTGTCTCCAAGACTACTGACGAAACACTAGCTGACTGGGAGTGTCTCCAAGACTACTGACGAAACACTAGCTGACTGGGAGTGTCTCCAAGACTACTGACGAAACACTAGCTGACTGGAAAGTGTCTCCAAGACAACTGGCGAAACACAAACGAACTGAATTAAAAGCCCCACAACTGACGAAACACTAGCTGACTGGGAGTGTCTCCAAGACTACTGACGAAACACTAGCTGACTGGGAGTGTCTCCAAGACTACTGACGAAACACTAGCTGACTGGGAGTGTCTACAAAACTACTGACGAAACACTAGCTGACTGGGAGTGTCTCCAAGACTACTGACGAAACACTAGCTGACTGGGAGTGTCTCCAAGACTACTGACGAAACACTAGCTGACTGGGAGTGTCTACAAAACTACTGGCGAAACATAAACGAACTGAATGTAACGCCCCACAACTGACGAAACACTAGCTGACTGGGAGTGTCTCCAAGACTACTGACGAAACACTAGCTGACTAGGAGTGTCTACAAAACTACTGGCGAAACATAAACGAACTGAATGTAACGCCCCACAACTGACGAAACACAAGCTGACTGGACGTAACTCAGATAAAACAGTGACTCCATCCGAACAACCCAGTTTATCTCCACTCAGATAAACTCCGCACACCATTGCCTGCTACCCGGTAAGTAACACTCCATCTCTGCTGTTTGTTCCCATTAGACGGCACTTTGATGGCGCTTTCAAACTCCAATTCCTTATATCTATATTAAGGTTTTTTTTGCTTATCCCTAGTACACATGGTTACAGGCCATGATAATCCTGGTGGGTAGTTAGCGACTGTCTTTTATTGTAAGTACACCACATTTCTACAAATGGAACAGGCCATGATAATCATGGTGGGTAGTTAGCGACTGCTTTTACTGTAAGCGCACCACATGTTTACACATGTGAAAAGCAGTTCGACCTTTGCACTTACAAATGTACTAGAGCCCCGTTTGGTTACTTGCACTCGCTGGTGGGGTTGGACTTTTGCAAGAATCGGGGACTATTGTAGCATTTTTTTTAACAGAAAAAAAGTGTCCAATGCGGGAATCAAACCCGGGTCGTAGTGGTCGAAAACCAAACGGTTTAACCAGCCTTCCACCGACCCCCCTTATATTAAGGTAAATACATCAAGCTTCTAGTCATAAATCAAGAAAAAGGCATCTCCTGATTGTACAACTGTATTCGGGAATAATTTAAAAAAATCAACGATTAGTCGATATTTATACCGATAGATGGCGCAAGCCATCAGTAACTTTCAGTTTCACGATGAAAAGATGTCCTTCTATTAATTTATAAATATTATCAAGGTAAAATATTACTTTTGTCCTTTTTTTAAAGGGAAAATGTTTAAACATTAATTCGAATATCTAGTTTTCGGGAATGAAAGACCTTCTTCAGTAGAGAATACGATACAATAAATCAGCTAATAAGACACGAGTTATAATGTAATCAAATACTATTTTACATATTTCCATTCAGTAATCTGTTGTAACTATTGTGTTTTATTGATATGATTGATCATACTATGTGCCTCTGTTGTTTATTATTGATATATTATGATACAGTAGAACTACCTCTCTGTAAAGGACAACACCTAGTTACAGAGTCAAAGTGTCCTTTAGGGAGAGAGGTGTCCTCTTACCAGAGAGTTGCTACAGTAGAACAACCTCTCTGTAAAGGACAACACCTAGTTACAGAGCCAAAGTGCTTTTTAGGGAGAGGTGTCCTCTTACCAGAGAGTTGCTACAGTAGAACTACCTCTCTGTAAAGGACAACACCTAGTTACAGAGACAAAGTGTCCTTTAGAGAGAGATGTCCTCTTTCCAGAGAGTTGCTACAGTAGAACTACCTCTCTGTAAAGGACAACACCTAGTTATAGAGTCAAAGTGTTCTTTAGGGAGAGGTGTCCTCTTACCAGATAGTTGCTACAGTAGAACTACCTCTCTGTAAAGGACAACACCTAGTTACAGAGCCAAAGTGCTTTTAGGGAGAGGTGTCCTCTTATCAGAGAAAACTGTCCTTTATAGAGAGATGTCCTCTAGCATGAGTGTCCTCTCCTGGAGGTTCTACTATAATAGGTTTTTGGTTCTGAGAAAGTGAAGAGAATATGGCTTGTTTAAAATGACATTAAATATCGTCTGATAATAAGAAATATAAACTATATTTGACGTAACATCTATATATAACAAATAAAACATTAAGATGCGAATTAAACTGGCGAAACCGCAGGGTTTACCACTGATGAGCCAAGCCTTACCAATATTTTTAAATCGCAGTAAGGACAGTAGAAGTTTGTTCTATTAATGAAAAGAAACATTCGTGTCTTAATATTGTTGCACGGGTTTGTCGTTTAGCAGATTCTTCCGCCTTGATTCTTTCCTCAGACATGGCTTGTATCTTACCAGAACTTGTTTCAACCATCCTACCAATTTATATAAGGGAATAAAGATATATAATACAATATAATGCGGTTTATGATTGTAGAACGAAATTTAACTAATTTTACCGCAAATGTTTCTTTTGAACGAAAAAAATCGAAATTTATTTTAAGGTGAAATAACGATTATTTCTAACCTTAGGGATGAAGTATGAAAGGATGAATTGTGAAGAGTAATGATAAACAGAACAATAAAAGTGTACAAGGATGGGAATCGAACCCACAGTGTTCCGCTTATCAGGCAGATGCCATGTCCATTAAGCTACCCTGGACATACTATCATACTTCATCCCTAAGGTTATGAGAGGAGCAGCTGCACATGACGTCTGTTCCTCATGTCAGAGGCGGCCATTTCTTTTGGGGCTAAGTCGGCCTGCCACTGAATAGTGCTCCCAGTCTTAATGACAAAGGCAGACGCATTTTATTTTACCTAATCATGATGGTGAGATAAGAAAGAAGAAGAAAGATTCTTAAGGTTAGAAATTATCGTTATTTCTCTTTAAATTTCGGTTTTTCGTTCAAAAGAAACATTTGCGGTATAATTGTCAAATTCCGTTCTACAATAAAGAGATAACTCTACTGTAAGTATCCTCAGGAATAATCTATTTCTACAAGAAAGTTTTTTACAGGTTTTCCCGATAGCTTAATTCAACCGATATATAACTACAACCTATTTACATATATCTACAGCCTATTTACATATAAAATGCTGTCTTCAGAGTGATGATATCAAATTTTCATAGTAGACCATCACAGAATATTTATTCTATGACAATATATTCATTTATATATATATTTTTGACGCATAAGATTCTTTTTTTTTAAATCATATAATTTTTCTACTGCCCACACTGCATGCCATAACGTATGCTATATGTGTGTACAGATGTCCCAGAAGCTCGAATCTGTCTGTCAACCAGCCATGGATGAACACACCATTGAACATAGAGAAAAAGAAGTTAAAAACAAGATTGAACATGTTGTCCTATTCCTAGAAGAAATTTGTTCAGGAGATGTCAAGTTGACATACAGAAACGTCAATGTTTTCTTGAATTTCTTAGAAGCTTTCGGACTTCAGTGGTTCTATGGTGAATGGAATGGATTAGACATCTTCGTTAAACGTTATATCGGGGAAGAGAATCTTCGTATAATCCGAAACCTTCGTTGTTTCTTCTTACATCACCTTGTCACCAAAGATAACGATATTGTCAACTGTGGCATCATTAATCGCTTCATAAACTTCATCAGTTTCGACACGTTCCTCAATGGTCTTCTTCAATTCACACGAAACGTTCAAACCAACCTTAATCAGAATATACATGGCCAATATGCAAATATAGGGAAACCATTCTTACTGAGAGGATATGAAACTATAGAAACAAGAGCAGGAGAATTTCTTAAGCCATCAACCATTCAAGAAGATCTTGTTATTATCAGGAAAGACAAAGAACTATATACACTTCTGAAAGAGAAATTTCTAGAAACAACTGCAGACGATGGAAATATTGATTTTATTCTAAACCAACAGACGAATGAAGGGAATATCAGATTATTTCTACCTTTGTTTCAGAAATTTGTTCTTCTTGCATATAGCCATGAACCTTCGTCCGATTTTGCAGAAGAATGCATGTTCGATTTAACAGTCAATATTGGCAAAAGTCTTCAGAAACTTGAAACCAGAATGATCCCCATTCGAATTCTACGAAATAACTTAGCACACGATTTTTGTCATTTTCAAAATCTATCTCAAAGAATTGCTTATTTTAAATGGCAAATGTATCAAAACAAAGAAATATTATTTCGATTTTATTTTGCTGAAGAAGTTAATGAATATATAAATTCAATAAATGGTAATAACGAACCTAATTTAATTTTGAAATCGTTTAAAAACAAACTAAATGATTTACAAGAAAAATTGGAAGGTACTAGATACCTATCTATAATGCCAGGTGAAATGTTCGAATATAAAGAATTGATCCATGTTCCGTATTTTATCGAACATTTCAGAAGTTTGGTACAAAGTGAATGGATGTTGCAAGAAGATCAAATGGACGAAGATGAAGCAATTAAGATTTTAGAATTTAAAGTTCGTCTTTTTGATCGAGATAAATTATATCAGGATGCAATTATATTAGAAATACTATGGTATCTTATAAAGATGGCTGAAAAAAAATGTTTAGACTATCTTCAACCTTTGATAGAATTCGACAATATTGTTCGTTTGGTTGAAAGTAACCGACATGAATTGAATTCAAAAGCTTTTTTGAAAGCGATGGAATTGCCATCCTCTTATAATTATTTTGGAAAATTTGGTGATAGCAGCTTTGATATTCCAGTATTCTTGAGAAATTGGAAAGAAGAACTTAACGAACCTTTAGACGAAGTTGATAGACTTACCTCAGAAGAACAAGAACGTCTCTGTCAAGCAAAGTTATACCATATCATAAAACAATGCCTAACAGAAGCAAGTGAGATTATTAAAAGTAAATATAACATCAATCAACCTTTCCATATATTCCACAGTCAAATTTCAAATTTGCAAAAACTTATCATTGATATTATAGAATCTTTTGAAGAAATTACATTTAAAAGCCCTCAAGAATTTCTTAAAAGTATTAAATTCCCAGAAAATCAAATAATTAATGTGAAAGATTTTAAAATTTCAAGTAATTCTATTCTAAAACGAATATTTAGAACGTTTTGTGATGCCATTAGCTTTTCTCAAGTCAAATTAAACCGTCTTGAAGCAATATTCTCCGATGAAGACTTTCTAAAACTTCTTATCTACCGAGATGAAAGAAATATATTTAGATGTACGGACAAATTGTCTGAATTGGCATACATTTATCACAGAGTTGATAAACTGATCAAAATCTATTTCATGACACCATACGTTGTTGAACTAATTTGCCTACGTCTAAAGAAAATCAAACAAATAGAAAAACTAATAAATAAGAAAAATTTAACGATATTAATAAAGAATTTGCTTAGAAAGAAGAACTATGAGCCATTTCTGAAAAAATTGAAATTATCAGCAAAATGTGATAACCGTTATTTAATAGAACAGATCATTCAACAATACTCTGCAAAGATGCCAAAGAAGTTCGTTTGATATATTTATATCCTTTTTTTTCTCATTTTGGGGAAAAAAGGAATTCAAGATTAAGTTTATTTATTATTGTAACATTCTTTGTTCTCTATTCATGATAAAATTGCGAAAAAAGTATTAAAATTACAAATATAATCTCACAATGAGTATCTTTTTTATTTAAAAAACGCTAGCTTTCAAGTGTTAATCGCTCTTCAACGGGCTTACTATAATATCGACTTGATCCCACCAGAAATATTTACAAAAAGTTTTTGTAAATTAACGATTGCGTTTAACGCTTGAAAGCTAGCGTTTTTTAAATAAAAAAGATACTCATTGTGAGAAAATATTTGTAATTTTAAAACATTCTTTGTATTTATTTATTTATGTAAAATATTTAATTATTCTTTCGATTTTTTCTTTATAGTTAGGAAATCGGCAATACTGTACTTTCTTTTTCTTTTTGTAATTTTGTATAAGTTTGTTTTGTTTATATATTATAGTTAACCTTGTTGTAATTAAATATTAAAACACAAAGTATTGTGACTATCCTTTATTTCTAAATGGGAAACGTTAAAAATTATCAAAAGAACACAAAATGGTGATGCAAATAGGTTCGTATATATATTTTCACGTGGAAAATTAGGGAAGACAAACTTCAGGATGAGACAGCAATTTATTTAAGACAAGAACAAACTATGAATGATAAAACAAAAGATAAGCAATGAGGGAAGTTTACAGAGTACAGAGAAAGACAAACTTCAGGATGAGACAGCAATTTATTTAAGACAGGAACAAACTATGAGTGATAAACAAAAGATAAGCAATGAGGGAAGTTTACAGAGTACAGAGAAAGACAAACTTCAGGATGAGACAGCAATTTATTTAAGGCAATGTTGTATAGTTATTATTTAATTTATTAATTAAACATTACCTACCAGATGAAATTATTTTATTACAATTATATATATTTTTAAAAGGTTACATTTATTTTACAATTTTCTTTATATTCGAATCCAATGTTTTTCGCTTCACGCGCTCTATGATGATGATGATATATTGTCTATCTTTAAACACAATACTACATTCCCTCCTTCCTTTAGATGAAAGGAATCATGTCTTTATATCTTGATGATGGCTTGACGACTCTTCCACTCCTGGTGATCACGGGTTCCTTGGTAGTCGGCAAAGGTGGAGAAACCTCTGGTGGCAACTGGTGAAGAGTCTCGGCATCAAGTCTATCTGAAACAACTGGGTTAAATGTAGACCCTGTTCTACTTGAACTTGGTCGGTTTAAAGAAGTGTCCTTGTCTTGGTTTGAGGAATTATCATCTGGCATTTGTACATCAGAAGAGTTGAGGTGTTCAATTCTTGTTGAATCTGAACTAAGATTTTCCTGGCTCTCTTCTGGAATCAAGTCAGAAATGTCTTGATTGGTCTCTTGAGTAGGAACATGTTTCAAATGTTTAGCATTTCTATGAATTATTTTCCCATTTTTAGTGTTGACTAATTTAAAATAATTTATTGAAGTGTTTTCAAGAGAATGACATGATGTTCTGATCTGAAATTTGAATCAAGTTTTCCATTATTTGGATTTGCCACATAAACTAAATTTCCAATTTCAAAATTATGAGGACTAGCTTTCCGAATTATATCATTATATGTTTTCATTTTTTCTTTGTAGACCATATTGAATTCTTTGATGTTGGATTCATCTTCTTCTGCATGATTAACAAGTGAGCTTAATTTATTTTTCATTTCTCTTGAAAATAATAGGAATGCTGGAGTCTTTCCTGTAGATCTGTTTGGAGTAGTTCGGTAAGACATTAAAATTCTGGATAAATCTTATTTCCAATCTTTCCCTTCTTCAGAACTTGAATTAAATTGTTTCTTTAGAAATCTATGGAATCTTTCTATCTTCCCATTACTTTTTGGGTAATAGGGTGAGGCTTTGATGTGCCTGATTCCACATTCTTTTAAAAATCTTTCCATTGATGTACTTACAAACTGTAAGCCATTATCTGTTACAACTTCATGTGGATAACCATGTCTTGCAAAAATCTCCATCAATTTTTTAATAATTGTCTTGCTGGAAATGTCTTCTATTATCATTGCTTCAGGATATGAAGAATAGTAGTCGATCACTGTTAAAACATAATGATGGCCAATTGGACCAACTATGTCA